AGTAGTAGAATTTTTTACATTAAGTGTACATTAAAATCATGTTCGAGTTTATTCAATGAGGCCTCCTTCGCATACGTTCAAAGTGATTGTTCGATTACATTGGGTGTAGCATCTACCGGGATCATTGCCCGCACGGAGAACGTCTATTGTTGGGCATGCGCTGCTAGTGACTGAATTGGGTGATGCGAGTGTCATTGAAGCCCATATTATTATGATTGTATTTGTTTATTGATTGAATTGGATGTGTCACATGTTATACATGAGAGTGATGCTGTTAATTTTATTTGTCAATTAATTCATTACTAATCTTAATTTATTCGTGGGCATATTATTGAATTGGATGTACATATTATTGAATTATCTAACCTTTTAATTTTATTTTATAAAATATAATATACAACAATATTTATAAAATGGAGTACAAAGTTGAATTAGAAACATATTTTTCATTATAAAATAATCTTAGCAAATTAATCTTTTTCATTCAGACAAAAACATTAGAGCAATAATAATGAATGATTTATATCTTGTTGTTTTCTGGTTTGGGGAAGCAAATCAAGCTGCCCAAATATGAAAATTCTCAAATCTAAACGACAAATTGGTTTCAAAGAAGTTGCCTATCAGCTGCTTCAGCAACAATAGGTAACCTGGGCAACTGCCCAAACAAGCAAGAAGACGAACCATAAACCAAACAAACCAAAGGAAGAGAAACACAGTGCTATCCACGCTCATCACCAAATCCAAACCCAACCCTTCTTTCGGATTGAAACTCCTCTCCAACAAATCAGGGAATATCAACAGAACATCAAGCACCACAGCCTGCATCGAGTTGGACCTCACATACCTACTGAAATTGGGTTCCTAACAACCACAAAGTAGAGAGTCAAGAACACCAAAAACCCATTCAAGGGGAAGCTTTTGAACACTGTAATGGCAGGGAAAAGCGGTTGAATTAGCACTTGGATTGGGGTGAACTGTGTTATGTCATACTTGCCATATTGAATACCATCAAAGAAAGGGTAGAAATAACACAGGGCTGAGATTAGCCTGTCAATATGCCATATTGGATCTAGTTCTTTTATAGGTGTATATGAATAGGAATTTAACAAATAAGATTGTTATCATATTCATTTATTCTTTTTATATGTGCTTATATTTTTTTTGTATTCTTGAAAGCGTTGTGTTTTGATTTATTTAATAATTGTGAATTTATTCATTTAATGTTCGTGAGTATTTCAGTTTAGTAAATATATTCGTTTATATGTTTAGAAATGGTGAAATAATGTCAGTAGTCCTTAATCTTATTAGGCTTGACATTTTGTACTCAAAAGTTACCATGTGTTCAATTTTGTTAATTCCTTACCTAATATCTAAAATATAAAAAAATAAAAGAAAAAGAGAGTCGGATAAACGAGCTTATGAATGAGTCAATAAACAAGATTATCAACGAGTTGATAAACAAACTTATAAACAAGCAAATAAACGAGTTTGTTCGTGAACATAAACAAATAAATACACCTTTGTTCGTATTTGTTCATTTATTAAAATAAGCAAAAAAAATTTATCCACACTTGTTTGTTTAAATTACAAGTAAATGTTATAGGAATAGTTCATTAACAATTCATTAAATATTATGTTCATTTACACCTCTAATCACATTTTATTAAATTTTACTCTATGAAATAATCTTATTATCTTTAATTAATATTTTAAAAAATCAAATAGATTTGCAAGATAAAAGAAAATCCTATCATTATTGCAATAAAAATACATTATATTTGTGTTTTTCAACGATTAACCAACATTAAAAATGTATTAATGAAGTGATTTTGTGGGTGTAAATCATAGTAATTTTACCCATGAACTTTGTCTTTCTCAAGATCATCGGCATCCTCAATTTCGTTCCTGTCAATAACGTTGCCTGCAATGACCCACTTCACAAATTTCTTTGCTTCAATATCTGTATAAACTTCTGCCATGTAGAGACACAGCTGGCATACAAAGGACGTTCCGGTGAATATCCATATCATGCCGAACATCCGACCGAATGCGCACGAGAAGCTCTTGTCTCCGAACCCTACGGTTGTCATGGTGCTAACAGCACAATAGAATGCATCATCGAACTCCATTTTCTCGACAGTACAGAGCACCAAGATTCTGATGACGAAATGCACTGCCATGACGATCAATGATGTTATACACTTGGTGTAGTCTATATTCAGAGTTTCAATCTCTTTAAGGGCTTCAATCGGTCCGATTTTCCGAGATCCACATGCAGGGCACTGAGCAGCGCCGCTTGTTGCTTGAAAACCAAGTATTTAGCAGCTATTTTCACTGCTATTCCGAACAGCAACACCCCTGCGACTATGTGAACACTGCACGCCAGCTCCGGAGCGATACCGTGGGGGTAAAGGTCTCCATAACCAACGGTGGCCATTGTCACCACACACATGTAAAGAGAATCAATGAAATCATTTGTTTTATTCCCTCCGATATGGTCCTTCAATACCAAAAGGCTTCGTGTTCCGAGACTCGTATAGATGCCGTAGTACTTCCCGAGCTTCTTAAGGTCCAGGAGAACGGTCCGGATAGCACTCGGAACGGTACGATTCGCAGCGACGGAAGCGGATTTGAAACTTTGAGTGCTTTTTTCCTTGGAATCATTTCCATCATTTGTTAAGTTCGGAGAGCCTGCAGCAGCCATTGTCATGATTAAGACCGCCTGATGGAAGCAATTACAACATAAAAATTAATGGTTAAAACATCTTTATAGACATTTAAATAACTTTATAGAGCTAGAAAATGATGATAAGGACACCGGAAATTAACCGACTTCAACGAAATTATGACAATTGTATAAGAATCTGGTATTGAGCTATGGTTCTTCAGTTATAAGCCTGAGATGGCAAGTTTGAAATTCAATTTAAAATGCTTATAAATAGAAGTAAATTAGGTTCCAAACACATTGGAATGTTCCTGGAAAGATCACAAGTTGATGTCGTTTTGACATGCAAATAAAACTTATGGGAAATTTCGCATGAACATCCAAAATGAGAAGAATTCAGTAGTTAATGAGGAATTTATGAGAAATCTGTTACAGAACAGCAGGCAATAGCCAAAAATAACTTGGTTTAAGAACTCAAAGAAACAAGAGGTCTGCAAGGCCCATGCTATCGGTCAGTAGCGGATCTAGAAATTAAATAATGGGGTTCAAAATTTTAATATCCTATTCTAAAAAAAATTAGGTATACAAATTTACTTTTTTATTTTTTATTTTCACTAACAAATTAAACTAAATTTGACACTTTTCTCAAAATAATGGGTGTGTAATGGCTCCCCTAAGGAGACATGTACATCCGCCCCTACTCTTGGTGTCTAGGAATGAGAATGAATCGGGTTGGATCGGATTTTTCACCTTATCCGACCTCAAGTATCGAAAGTTTGTTGAATGAATCCACATATGGGCATTGAAAACGAATGGTCCTCAGTTTCTAGCCATATATGTGTAAAGGGACCATAATGGCTTTGGTCACTTTCTTTTGAGTGTCCAATGTTAGCAGATACAGATTTCAATCTATGCGGAAACAAATGGTTGTGACTATTTGTTGTAACAAAACCATATCGTTTTCAGCTTTTAACATCTCTTGTTGTTTGATATATATATATTTAAAGTAGGATCTAAGATTAGGACAGACGAGAATCATTGATTCCATGCCATTATTATTTCTTTGAAAAAATGCATATTGGAGGAAATTCACCCCACACCAAGTGTCAACTTTTGTGGCTTAAAAAAAGCACCCTAAAACCCTACATCTCAGATCCATTAATATATGATCAAATTTGCAGATTTCATGTTGCTGCTTTGGAAATCTTGAAGCTCTTAAATATTGCAGTTATTAGACTGGTCTATCCTACTAGTTTTGCGGTGTGTACATAAATTTTCTTCTTACCTACCTGCCTTTAACTTGTCTGTTTTCCCAAAGAAACTGGTAAGTTGTGCGCAAATATCCCTAACTCTCTCGCAAAATAAAACAAAACCAACAACTCAATTGAACCGATTAATAGAAATACTCCTACATTTCACTTTTCTCATATATTTCATACATTACATTAGATGGATATCATATTCATAGAATACAATTGACTTTCAAGATATCTCGATGGTGAAATAATAAAGACGTACACAAAACTCGAAATATCATGCTAAAGAGAGTGGAAGTTTGAGTCATCTTCAAAACATAATATTGAGAATGCACATTAAATTGAAATAAGTTCAACAACGAACCATAAGATCTTAGCGATCTTCTCTATCTAATGAACACGAAGTCCACTTTGAAATCGTTTGCTCATACTTGCACTCGAGTATATCCTTCAATAGGAATCACATACACAAAAGTAAAGTGATACAATATAAACCTTTGGTAAAATTCCCATCATAACCCAACAGATGAAATACATTATATAATCCGTTTCAAGGATTGGAAACTTACTTGTTCCGTAAACTGATCTAAATTAAAGTAAATAGTTAAATTATATTAAACCCTAAACTCTAAACACCGAATCAAAATAAATCCACAACTAAAACGGTGGCTTTGAAAATAGAAGCTATCCTTAATTGCCATCATTTTCAAAGGGTCGTTTCTGCCTAATTGAAATGGAACCCTAAATTAATATCATTTCAATACTTAACATAGAAACCGAAGGGACCTAGGAGCCTAGGGCTATTCCCTTTCATACCTAATTTCTTCTTCTTCTTTGATCTCTTCCATCATGAATTTTTGTTTCTCTTTGGACGTAGGAATCTTTGAAGTTGGATTATGATTATGAATCTTTCTTAGCACATTTGCCTACGTGATTCTCTAGCAAAGTGACCATTAGGACCAAAAGCTAAACATTTCATAAACAGAACACAAAACTGATAATGTACTTGCAACTGCAGCCACAATCCCCTAAAAGAATACAGTACTAAGAAAACACATTACTTTGTATTGGAATCATCTTTAAACCGTGACTAATTGCTGTCCAGCTTCGGTCCTGAGTTCTTCTTTCATCTTTGCAATAAATTCATCAAACCTTTTGTTTAGATCTTCTGTACTCAAGACCCCATCTTCTTCTTCTTCCACAGTTATCTCCAAACCCCGTTTATTATCTTCTTCTTCCTCTACTATCTCAACGCTGTTTTTTATTGCCTCATCAACGGTGCTCTCCAAGGTAGCCTTGTCGTCCAACAATGGTGCTTTTGGCTCCAAATCAACTGACTGATCAGCTCGTGGAACATCTTCATAGCTATTGAAAGATGGATCATCATCATTGTACATAGATGAAGAACTGATTAGACCTGAGTATTTGGCAAGAAAAACAAGCAATCCATTGCAAACAAGGAATATGCAGTTTTTGTCTATGGCATGGCTAAACAACTGGAAAGGAAGTGAATCATGGAAGTTGAAGTTAAAGGAGTGGAGCAAAGAAGGCCAATATGAATAGGAAAAGAATAGGGAAAAGACTGAAACTGAAAGAAACAAATGAGTCAGTCTTCTATGAAACCGAGATTTCATAAACTGACTCAAAGATTGCTGCTTCCAATTTTCTGTTTGATCCATTTTGCCAAATTCTTGAATTTCTTTTGTTGTTTTTGAGTTGAAGCTGGGATGACTTATGATCAAATTCTTACATTTATATGTAAATTATTTTCAAAAAATCCAAATGCATTAATTTTATAGACTAATAGCTTATGTCATTATCTTATAATCGATGTTTCTGAAAATATTAATTGTAAGGGTTAATTTATGTAATACATGTGTTCACCATTTCTGCCACATTTCTTGGATTTCTTTTTCATGGAAAGGGTCTGTTCTCCTATGCCATTAATGCTTTACTTTTAGCTTTGTTTTGCTTTCTTATATTAGACTAACAGTACAAGTGTTGAATGAAGAGTTCAATGGTAAAAATCCGAGAAAAATAATCGTCCCCGGACCGGAAAAATTCGGATTAGCAGCTAGAGAAGCAGTTTCTGCTTCAGAAAAAAACTACAATTCAGTGTGTATATTATTGGTAAAATTTCATTTAATTCTCTGAAAAAGAAGGTACTAAAAATTCACATGTGAAATTTGATGTGCTCTAGAGGTTGACGTGAAAAGCTTTCTCGAGGCAAACGGAAACTATAATTGGCCCAGCCAAGTCTCCAGCAGCACAGCCTACAGGGAAAAATGCATAATTTAAAATGATGCTACTATAAGACAGTTAAACTTGTAAGCGAATTCGGGATATCGACAACAGTGGTAACTATTATCGATCTGTGTAGGTGAGTAACTTACCGATCCATTGACCGATTGAAGGACGGAGAAGTGTAGCACCGATCCCGGCTCCAATGGAAGCAAATATCAATGATGCTCCACACCTGATGATTATACCAGAAATCTTCTTTCCAAGAAGTTTAGCTTGTTTTTTTGTGTTGACCCCATCACCCTCTTCCGAGTCCTTTATGCGAGCAAAGAATTTGTAGATTTCAATACCAGTTTGAACAAGCCCCGCAGCCACAACTCCAAGAAGGTGGCCTGGATAAACATTGGGAAAACAGAAAAAGAAAGAGGTGTTACAAGGCTAAAGCAACTTCTTTACAATATAAGAGGACATATCGGTAATGGTATTGACCTCGGAAAGTTGTTCTGGTAACTCTGAAGAAGTACACTGTGGTAGGCAATCCTCTTTGGGACTTCCGGACAGCTGATTTCGGGACATCTGCTTTTGTTGTCAAACTCATGAGAAGCTTATAATAACTATCAGCAAGAAGTTTTCAAATAATGGCTTTGTGGAATTACAACAGTAGTCTGAGAAGTCAAAACATGATAAAGTTGAGCTATTACTTAAAACAGCAAAGGAATTCCTCAATTGTAGTCAATGTGCTTCAAATATGGAGACTCGATAATCTACGACAACAAAAAACTTACGACTGGAGCTTAGATTTGATGAACACCACTTAAAGAAGAATCATTCATATTCTTCATGCATAAAGTTGAATTTAATTATCATCTAAACTGTATAACTCCATATATGTATATGAACTTTAATTGCTTTTATTCATGAATTATACAAACAACTGGCTTTTGCTTAACTCTCGTTGAGAAAACATATAAGACGTCATAAGATACAAGCAATAAAGAGAGAAGCAGATGAACACTATCGAGCAATTGGCTCCGTGGCAGACTTCGGGATACCATAGAAAGAAGGCCAAAGGAAAGATCAAAAGAAAACAACACACCTCACGAACTATTTGCTTCATCGACTTTTTAAAGGGAACAATTAAATCCACACGTTGTTCTTCTGGATGGTCCTTCAGGAAGTCGTCGTCATCATCCTCGTCTACATTTGTAGCAGGCTCCAAAAGAGGCAAATAGAACATCAGAAACGACCTCAAAGTTGTCATAGCAAGTGGCCTCAACTCAAAGGCTGAATAAAGAGGCTTCAACTCAACCTTATACTCCTTTGCGGAGTCTTTAAGAGCATCATCCTTTAAGCTCTTAGCATTCTTAATGATATCTTCGGATACTTTGTTTATATTTGAAATATAATCTTCAGGCAATGCCGCAACAGCATCACAATGAGAAACCTTGGGATAACTGCAGCACAATCACTAGGCTATCGGTGTCAAATTCATGTGCGAAAATCTAGAAAATTTACTTCAACAATTTCCTAAATAATCAGAACATAGTGAACAGAACTAGCCGCCTATTACGGTAATAAAAACCAAATGTTGAAACTATCAAACCAGTCTAACATAAACCCTACTCCAAACCAATCAAAATCAGCACTTTTCATTTGTCAATACACAAGGCATACTGTTACTTGTACACACAGATGATGGCATGTACTTTCAGAAACATAATATACATATATACAAATGAAAATATGTATATGAAACCTAAAATAAAAGAAACACCCAACTGCCTAAATTCAGTAACTCATACACATACACATGATGACATGGACACTGATACAGTTGCCTAAATAACATCAAAAACCAAAATGTTCTGCATGTTGAAAATAAAACACTCACACAAACAACTTTTATTGAAACTTAAACAAATATTACAAGAGCACTCTCACTCAAAAACAAGAACTACAACTTACACTTATAGGACTTTGCTTCTTCACTCACTTAGAAGCTCTTAATTTTTCTTTATGCTTAAAACTAAAATGAGAAGGGGTATTTATACTGCTCAAGAACAATCCTACACCACACAAATAAACTAATTTAAACCATTACAAATTCAACAAATATCTAACTCTCACCTAACTAAATTGATGTAAGCAATGACATCATTACTTAAATGATGTAAGCAATGACATCTTTAATTAAATGATGTAAGTAATGACATCAATTTAGTTTGGGTTTGGGTTTAGGCTCCCATAATGGATCAAGTTTATGATCCAACACCCCCCCTTAAACTTGATCTCGTGACCCCTAGTAGGTTCCTTAATCTTAAGAAGTCTTCGCTGGTCAGTGGCTTGGTAAAAATATCAGCAACTTGATCTTGTGACTTCACGTATTCAACTTCCACATCTTTTCTTGCAACACACTCCCTTATATAGTGGTAGCGAATATCAATGTGCTTGCTTCGATCATGGAATACTGGATTCTTCGCTAAGGCAACGGCTGACTTGTTGTCGACACAAACCTTGGTAGGCTCTTCTTGTATCAAACCTATCTCCTTCAATAGATTTCTAAGCCAAATTGCATGACAAACGCATGAGGTAGCAGCAACATATTCCGCTTCACAAGTGGACAATGTGACAATCGGTTGTTTCTTTGACATCCATGTGAACGCAATATCTCCCATGAAAAATACGAATCCAGTAGTGCTCCTTCGATTATCTATGTCTCCACCCCAATCACTGTCACTATATCCAACAAGCTTGTAATCGTTAGAAGCTGAATAGAACAAGCCAAAGTCAATTGTACCTTTCAGATAGCGAAGAATTCTCTTTGTGGCTTTAAAAGGGTGGTTGTTGGAGATTCCATATAGCGACTAACCAATCCAACTGTGTGAAGAATATCAGGTCTCGTGCAAGTTAGATAGCATAGACTTCCTACCAAACTTTTGAAGAATGTTGGATCTACACTTTCGCCTTCTTCATGTTTGGTCATCTTGATCCCGTATTCTGCCGCGATGTGCTTATTGGCTTACAGTTCTCCATCTTGAACTTCTTCAGTATCTCCTTTGCATAGCTTTCCTATGAAATGAAAATTCTATCATTTTGTTACTTAACTTCAATGCCAAGGTAGTACGCCATGAGCCCCATGTCTGCCATCTCGAATTCTTTCATCATCACATCCTTGAATTCATTAAACATGCTTGGGTTTCTTCCAGTGAAGATCAAATCGTCCACATAGAGACACACGATCAAAATATCTTCATCTTTGATCTTGATATATAGAGCATGCTCGTAGGGACATTTGTTGAAGCCATTATCTTGGAAGTACTTGTCGATTCGGCTATTCCATGCCCTTGGTGCTTGTTTTAGCCCGTAAAGAGCCTTCTTCAACTTCAACACCTTGTCTTCGTTCCCTTTGACTTCATAGCATGATGGTTGCTGAATGTAAACTTCCTCTTCAAGAACTCCATTTAGGAAGGCATACTTTACATCAATCTGTTGTATCTTCCACTTGTTTTGAGCTGCCAAAGAAATGATTAGTCTGATAGTCTCCAATCGAGCAACAGGAGCAAATACCACATCATAGTCAATTCCAGCCTTTTGACTATAGCCTTTAGCAACTAGCCTCGCCTTGTGCCTTTCAATCTCTCCTTTGGCGTTTTGCTTTGTTTTGTACACCCATTTGACACCTATCGCCTTATGTCCCTTGGGAAGTGAGGTAAGTTCCCATGTGTCATTCTTCTCGATGGCCTTGATTTCTTCATCCATCGCATCTCTCCATTTCTTTTCTTGTACCGCTTCTTGAAAACTCACTGGTTCACAATCGGCAAACAGACAAAATAATGTAAGATTATCTTGTCGTTCAGTTACCTCATAGAGATCTCTAAGGCTTCTTGTGCGTTGCACAACTCTTTCACTTTGACTCCCACTTGACGATGACGAAGGTGATGAGTCTCCTTGAGTGGTTGATGTTGGTGAAGTGGGTGGAGTTGCAAGCTCTTGTTGAGATTCATCTAGTTGTTCCCTCATTGTATGCTCATCTTCTTCAAACTGAGGAAAGAAATTGAAGTCATCTGTATGAGAGTTAAAATCCATTCTCCTTCTTCGTTGAATACCACATCTCGACTAATCACAAACTTCTTATTGTTTGGATTGTACAACTTGTAGCCCTTCGAATTAGCATCATAGCCGATGAAGATAAAACTCTCGCTTTTATCATCAAGCTTCGTTCTTCTCTCGTCTGGTACGTGAACATGTGCTATACTTCCAAAAGTTCTCAAATGGGAAATGCCAAGCTTTCTTCCACTCCATGCTTCTTGCGGTTGTCTTTCCCCATACACTTCTTGTTGGAGATCGGTTTGTCAAGTAGACTGCACACGCTACTGCCTCAGCCCAAAATTCCTTAGGTAGTTTCTTGCTTTTGAGCATGCTTCGTGCCATGTCGAGGATTGTTCTGTTATTTCTTTCTGCCACACCATTTTGCTAGGGGAATCTAGGAACTGTCATTGGTCGACAAATTCCATTTGCTTCACAGAACTCTTGAAATTCCCTGGAAGTAAATTCTCCACCTCAATCAGATCTCATGGCTTTGATCTTTCTACCGCTTTCTCTCTTCACTGCTTCTTTGAACTTCTTGAAGACTTCAAAAACTTCTGACCTCTGTTTCAAGAAATATACCCAGGTTTTTCTTGAAAAATCATCAATGAAGAGAAGAAAATAGTTACTGTTACCGAGAGAGCTCGGCTTGATCGGTCCACACACATCGGTATGGATGAGCTCAAGTGGCTTCTTGGCTCTTGTCTCTGACTCCTTTGGAAAGCTTTTCCTTAATTGTTTCCCAGCTAGACACCCTTCACAAAGCTGGTCAGGATGGTTGATGCGAGGTAGTCCCTTCACCATCTCCTTCTTAGATAGCAGCTCTAGACCTCCAAAATTGAGATGCCCAAAATCGAATATGCCAAAGCCATGATGCATCTTTATAGCAAGCTTTCAGGCACTTTGCAACATCATTTTGTATGTTGATCAAGAACATTATATTCTTTGACATCGGCACTTTAGCAATGAAGTTATTCTTATCATCTTTTATAGAAAGATTATAATTATTCATGTGAATATCATAACCTTTCTCTACCAGTTGCCCTAAACTTAAGATGTTACTTTTCATATTGGGCACATAGTAGACATTTGAAATAAATTGATGCCTCCCATCTTTCAAACGGATAAGAATGTTACCTCTCCCTTTCACTGCTATTGTGGAATCATCTCCAAACGAAACATTTCCGCTTACTGGCTCGTCTAGCTCCACGAACATGTCTTTCCTTCCACACATGTGATTGCTTGCACCACTGTCAAGATACCAGGAATTTGCTTGGCCACCATCAGTTTCCTTTCGTGCTAGAAGAAGAGTTTCTTTGCCATCTGTCTTTTCCTCCACGTAGTTAGCATTCTCCTCAATTTTTTTGTTGGGAGCTCTACATTCTGAAGCATAATGCCCAAACTTTTGACAATTATAACATCGAACTTGAGATTTGTCATGCCTTGAGTTCGGATTGATTCTTCAATGGCCTCGTGTTGAGCTTTCTCCTTTCTCATAGTTGTTGTTGGAATTGTTGTTGTTGTAATTACAGCCTTGTCCACGACCTCGACTTCCGCCTCGTCCATGTCCTCTACCTCTGCCTTGACCACGTTGGTTTCTATCATTGCGTTGACTTTCATGCATATCTTTGAGTTGCAGCTTGAGGAGTTGCTCAGTAAACTCATGCTTCTTCTTATGCTTCTCTTCGTATGCTTACAATGATCCTTGGAGTTGCTCGATCGTCATTTCTTCTAAGTCTTTAGTTTCTTCAATCGTCACGACGATGTGCTCAAATTTGGGATCCAACGAACAGAGTATCTTCTCTATTATCCCACATCTAACTTTTCACCATTTCTTTTTAATTGATTAGAAACAGCTACTACTCTTGAGAAATAATCTGAAATAGACTCAAATGCTTTCATGTTTAAGGATTCGAACTCACCTCTTAATGTTTGGAGACGAACCTTCTTCACTTGCTCGGATCCTTTGTAAGAGGTTTGCAGCTTCTCCCACGCTTCCTTGCTAGAGCTTGCACTTGAAATCTTTTCAAAACCATCATCATCTAATGCTTGATAGATGAGGTAGAGAGCCTTCTTGTCTCTCTTTCTTGAATCCTTCAAAGTTGTATTTGATGGTGTAAGAGTAGCAAAAACATCATCATCCGCAGGCTCGTTGTAGCCTTTCTCTATGATATCCAACACATCTTGTGATCCAAGAAGTGCCTTCATTTTGATACTCCAATTGTCGTAGTTGTTGTTGTTGAGTGTCGGAACTTGGAATGGTGCCAACCATTTGCCATTCTCAATATAGATTTTGTAATCCGATTGCACGGATGAATCCGGAACGCTGAAAAAAACTTTGGAGGGACTTGGACAACTCGGTCAAGGGCTCCAACTCGGCTGACTCGGCTCAACTCGGTGAGTCAACTCGATTTTCTGGCAACAGTCTTCTGGCGGTGCGTCAGAACTCAGATTGAGAAAATTCTGGCGGCGTCGGATTCTTCTCGTCGAGACCTTCGATCTTTCCAACTCGCTCTGATGCCACTTTGTTGGAAATAAAACACTCACACAAACAACTTTTATTGAAACTCAAACAAATATTACAAGAGCACTCTCACTCAAAAACAAGAACTACAACTTACTCTTATATGACTTTGCTTCTTCACTCACTTAGAAGCTCTTAATTTTTCTTGATGCTTAAAACTAAAATGGGAAGGTGTATTTATACTACTCAAAAACAATCCTACACCACACAAATAAACTAATTTAAACCATTGCAAATTCAACAAATATCTAACTCTCACCTAACTAAATTGATGTAAGCAATGACATCATTACTTAAATGATGTAAACATTTAATTAATATGTAATTAATCATTTTAGTTTGGGTTTGGGTTTAGGCTCCCATAATGGATCAAGTTTATGATCCAACACTGCTAATGGCCACTGTCTACGAAGCAAATAAATAACAAACGAAGTAAACAAATACATGGATATAATAAACATACCCAAAAAGGAACCTGGAGGCAAAAGGGGTTCCAGCAGCGACGGTAGCGGCGACTGATGCAGCGAAAGCTGAGGCAAAGAAGGACCCAGAAGAGTGGAAGCTTTGTTGAGAGCAAAAGCTTGGGTTTTTACGGTATAGATCTAGCAATATAGTTATCCCCGCCACATTTGTTGTTCTTCAGCCAAAAACGATGAACAAAAGAGAGCTTTGGTTTATATCACTACCATAATGATTATCAGCTCCAGCTTTTCTACCGTTTGGTTTTCTTAGGAAAAATCTAGGCTTTTAAGGGCTTTTTAGCTTTTGATTGGAAAATTTAAAGTGTTAATCCAATTTTTGTAAGAATAGGGAATTTTTTAAAGTTTTTATATATTTTTTTTTATTATTGTAGGATATAATTTAAAATTAATCATTAAATTATTTTATAATAAATTTTAATATTAAATATTTAAAAATTAATTTTTATTGAAATAATATGACATACTAAAATTAATAAATAATATATTATTTAATTCTGTAATTATAATTAAAATTTCATTTTACAGTCTTATAAAATTCTTAATCTCATCCAAACAATTAATTTAAGATAAATTGAATTATAGTAAACTTGTAATGAATTCTTCAAATATATTGATTAACAAATGAGAATTTCGTAACTAATCATTAGATATGATGCAAGTTACAATAATATAATATTTTTTTCTTGATTTGAATGGAATTAAATTATTTATAAAATTATTTTAAAAATAAAATATTATAAACACGTATGATATTAAATAAATCTCAAAATTATTGAATATTTGAAAGAAAATAATTCTTTCACTAATTTATTTTCTCTGCCCCTTTAACTATCTAAACACATTTAATTCTTAACAATCTATGCAGACTTCGAAATTTCACCCCGTATTGTTAATTTTTCATTACTAAAGCAATATTTTTAAAAACAAAATTATTTTCAGAGAATTATTTTATCTCAAATATTTAGAATATTAATTTAAATCGACTAACTAAGAAATCAAATATTAATTATTATATAAAATATTAATATTCTTAAGTTGCCAAACAAACAGAAAAGGCTTTTAAACTTCTTCCGGAAAGCCAAATCTTTGCATCCAAACAGAGATCTTCTTCCCACACAAACCAATTTAAAATCCCGCTACAAAATAAAAACCCCAAAATCCACTGGGTTCGAATATTATCCCTCAAGTTTCATCCTTTTAGAAATCAAGGATTTTTATTTGAATTCGGGTTTTGATTTTGCCCAAAATAGCTGAAAAAGAAAATGAATTTGGGGGATTTACACAGGGTGTGGGAAATCAAAACATTGAAAAGGAAACCTGGAGAAGAAGAAGCCAAAAAATTCTTACAGAAAATCGCCAAACAAGTTCAACCCATTATGTGTAAGCATAAATGGAGAGTCAAGCTCCTCTCAGAATTCTGGTACCTTTTTTAAAAAATTATTCATTTTTTCTTTTATTTTGTTAAAGGAAAGGATTTTTCTTTCTTTCAATACGATGATTTTTTTTTCTTATTTATAGTCCGAACAATCCCCGTTTGCTAGGGTTGAATGTGGGAGGTGGCATCCATGTGAAGTTAAGGCTGAGGAGACCGAACAGGGATTGGGATTTTTATCCCTTTGATCAAGTTCTCGATACAATGCTTCATGAGCTTTGCCATAATGTTCATGGTCCACATAATTCTAGTTTTTACAAGCTTTGGGATGAACTTAGAAAGGTCCATTCCATTCTTTTAGATAGTCCTTAATCATCATTTTCCAGTGCCAAATGCTGTTTTATGGATGGTTCCTGTGAATCTTGTCTAGTAAGTTTCATGTTAAGACTTGTCTAAGTTCGTGCTATTGCGTTAGAACCATAGAAAGCTAAATGAGAGATTCTGGCTTAAGAAAGTAATTATTAAGTGTCTATAGTTATGAAAGTAGTTTGGAAAATTTATATTTTAGTAGGGCAGCTTGCTATTCTTTTATGTATTTGCATATTTTTCCTTGTTATATCGATGCAGGAATGTGAGGAGCTCATGTCAAAAGGAATAACTGGCACAGGGGAGGGGTTTGATCTTCCTGGAAGGCGCTTGGGTGGATTTTCCCGACAACCTCCACTCTCTTCTCTTCGCCAGACTGCATTAGCTGCAGCAGAGAACAGAGCACGCTTGGGGTCTCTATTACCTTCTGGACCTAAACGTCTTGGTGGTGACAGCACCATTAAGAATGCACTTAGTCCTGTACAAGCAGCTGCAATGGCTGCCGAAAGGAGATTGCAAGATGATATCTGGTGCGGTTCTCATTGTTCCGAGATTGCTGAGGATGATGGAAGTGCTGATACTTTGCAGGATCATTTGGACACGGATCAAAGAGCAGAGAGATCGAGTGTGAAAGATGTTTCCAGCGGACATCCTTTTGGTGGAAATTCTCATAAACGAAGCCATGGGCAAGATAAACCAAAATCCAACTTTGTGGATTTAACTATATCTCCAGTATCTGGGTCTGCTGTTAATCAAGATGACAAATCTCTTAAACGAAGCTGTAAATCCAATAACCTTATACCTTCAAGTTCCTCGTCGTTTGTCCCCGTGCTTAATGATGATTCTCCAGAAAAGCAAGGTGAAACTTCAATGTGGGAGTGCAAATCATGTACTTTACTGAATCCTGTAAGTGTTTCATCTATCAATATCACTTCGTTCATATACTTTGCGTAATGATGATTCTCATAGGAACGTGCTTTGCACATCCTTGGTGTTAAAATGTTGCAGCCATTAGCCCCAATATGTGAGGCTTGCTTCACCGAAAGGCCCCGAGACATCGGCACCAAGTGCAAATTTTGGTCCTGCAAGTTTTGCACCTTGGAGAACTGCGTGAAACTGGATAAATGCTCGGCATGTGATCAATGGAGATATTCACATGGCCCTCCTATATCGACTCCAGCTCCCAATGCTGGCACATGAGAAGTAATATTTCATCAACATCAATGCCAATTTTCTTCATTTTTATCCAAGTCAGTTCATTTGGAACATTTTCAACTGTTTTTGTGGTTGCTTTTTGCAATGCTTTATGTTCTGTTCACCAGTTTAGAGTGGCAGGGGGCATTTTACATAGTCTAACGATACTGTAATCATTTCGTAATCGAATCAAAAGTTTAATGATTATTTTATAATTTTTGAAATATCAACGAGGAAAAATTTATTTCAGCTTATTTTGTCACTAACATTGTACTTTATAAAAATAAATATATTTTATATTCTTAAATAATAATTTCAAACTGGTTTTTATAACAAACCACTTCATTTAAAAGTCAACTTGGATGAATAATTCTTAGACAAATCAAACATATCCCAATGATGTGTACATTTCATTTAAACAAGAGAAAATAATCTCAGTGACCAAAAATACCTTATAATATATGAATTTAACTAATTTTTTTTGGATTTGCCAAATGACTAACAAATTCGCAATGCCATCTCAAATTCGTAACGCGAACTCCAATTTCGCATCTCAGTTTCCAATTTCGCAATGCGAATTTGTAAATCGCAACACAGAAGTCAAATTCGCAATGCGATAGTCAAATTCGCAACTTGATAGTCAAATTCGCAACCTAAAGTCAAATTCGCAACGCGATAGTCAAATTCGCAACTTGATAGTCAAATTCGCAACACAAAAGTCAAATTCGTAACGCGAATTTGTAAATCGCAACACATAAATCAAATTCGCAACGCGAAAGTCAATGTTTTACGCAAACACAATATTAATTTCGCAACACAAATGTAAACATTATTATCGCAAACCATATCTAACCTAAAACCCTAAATCACAACTCAGTCCCATCTCCATCTCTCACTTCTACGGCGACATCCGTCCCCATCTCCGACGAAATCCGTCTATTTCCATCTCTCAGAGCAACCCTCACAACCATTCACGGTCAGAAATGGAAAATCAACCACCGAGGGTTAGTTTTTTTAATCTCTTATTTTTATTTTGAAATTTTTGTATTATTATTTTTCTTATTGATGATAATTTACTGTAATTTCAATATATAGATTAATCATTTCACTGAGATTGCTTAGTAAATTCATTCGGTTGCTGCCAATACTGCTAAATTGCTTAGTATTTGTCTTTGTTTTATCTTTTTTTTGAAGAAACCCTAAATCGTAACACCAAAATCGCAAAGCGAAAATCGCAACGCAAAAATGAAAATCGCAACGCGATTTTAGTTTTGCGTTGCGAATTTAAGTTTCAGAAACTTCTTTTATTCTGCAAATTGAAACTTGAATGAATTGCATTACTTCAACCAAAAAACAAAGACAAATACTAACTTCACAGTGTTGCTAATTTAAGTTTCAAGAATAAACTACTACTCTTTATGTTGTCCTTGAACCTTGCACTAAACCTATATGTTGTCCTTTTAAATGTTTATATAAGTGCTTACTTCTGGAATGTTATCTGATGCATTTTGTGAACTATGATGGAATAATGACTTGGTTGAATACCGTGCTAGTTTGAAACATATTTGGCTTTGTTTTCACTGTTTAATTGAATTTTACATTGAAAGTTGATTGTTGAGGAAATAAGATTTATTTTTTGATTAATTGATTTGTAAAAGTTGATTTGTAAAAGTTGATTTGTTTAATTTGATGTGTAAATAAGAATTTTTTTTTGCTTGTTTAATTGATTTGTAAAAGTTATTTGTGTCTAAAAAATTCAATCTGCATTATGTTTGAAGGCAAAAAAATACCTGTTGAAGGTACAAATTCGCAACACGAAAGTCAAATTCGCAACGCTTATTTCGCGTTGCGAATTTGGCTTTCGCGTTGATCGCAACATACAACATCAAGTTATATACAACATCAAACACATTCCAAGCTATAAATACAAGCTAAGGATACTGAAGAAGCAAGAGAACACTATCCAAGCAATCAAACACAAGAGAAAATACCAACATGATAACAACTGAACAGATCATAGCAATGTTCAAACTCAAGTTACTAATGAATGTCTAACTGAAAATGTATGCATTCACACATAAATACAATACAACGTTTGCATTAAAAATCACCTAAGTTAATAAGTCCCAAAAGGTGAAGCCGTTGTGATTGGATTTTGATTTTGATTGCGATTTGATTTCCATTTGCTTGGCACCACTGAGCTTGGATTTTGATGAGGATCCATTTTTTGGTAGAGGAAAAGATGATTGTGATGGCACTGGTGATCCACAAGTCAACCTTGTATGATCACTTTCCTTGCACCGACTACATGTCGATATCCTCTTCTCTTCACCCTTAGACGGTATACGTCGTGATTTTTGGTCAGCCAGGTAGCCTGTGTCCATGACTGGTGGCAAACTGTTTGAAGTCTCTGTATGTCCCACTCAGAAGGATGTGGACATGGATAGACAATCTCGGCATAAGTTGTCGATATACTTCTGTAGTGTAGCAATCCATAGCGTATGTGCTTGAATCATCTTGGTTAGATGAGAGCAACTTTATAACATGACCACATGGATAACCAGATGTTTGTCGTTTCTTACAACTACACGTCTTTGCATTTAGATCGACAAGCTTATTTAAGTTATTATCCAATACTTTAAACAAAGTGTTTGAACATGGTTCAACTCTCCATGACGTTGACTTCACAACACGTTTCGTTATTTTTTTCAATCCATAGTGTAACACGACGTTCCAATGTTCCTGGAATTAAATAAATAATAGTTAGTAAAATATATGATAAGTTACGAATTTAAAGAAATACATGCATGGTTTTTTCTTGTAGTACCATTGTTGAATAGAGGCCGAAAAAATTCCATTAACATAGTAATGGGTAATTTCCGGGAATGACAACTTAGAGCGTTGATTGATTCTGCACTATTAGATGCCATGAAACCATATCTTGCTCCAAGTTGATGTACTCTAGACCATCTTTCAAACCCGACATCTTCTAGTTTTGAGCACATTGAGGCAAAACACGTCTTAAACAATTTATATGCTTATTAAAATCCACTTCCCGATAAGCTTTACAGCCTTCCAGTATGTCCATTTGTGATTTTTTATACCAGCAACCTTGATTTAGATTTCTGTACAAATGAACACCCAAAGTAAACCATGTCCATGAATCAGAGGTTCATTTGCCAACCTGTAAGCTATTGGCAGTATCCCATTGTTAGCATCCATGGCTACTGCTAATAAGTTTACTCCAAGGTATCGACCTTTTAAATGTGCTCCGTCAACTATAATAACTGGGCGCATGCAAGTAATAAACGAACGAATCTACAAAAGCATATACACAAGAAATATAATCATTTAAATGTGAAATGCATGCAACTAACAAAAATGAGTCAACAAAATTATAATTATTTACTAACCGCATCACCAATGGCAATAAACAATAACTTAAAGCGTCCATCTCTATCTGTTTTGATATGAGTTACCGACCCATGATTTTTCAACTTTAAATTGTGACAATAAGCCGACAGTTGGGCAAATGATGCTTCTGGCGACCCCTCAACAATTCCAAGCATAACATTTGCTCTCCAAGCTTGAGAATATGAGATACTAATCTTGAACCGATCATTCATTTCAGTCATAATTTCATGTCCCCGATATACCCTTCCATTCAAAAACATTAACTCAGCCAGAAAACCACCCAACACATTTTTGTTTTCTTGTCTATGGTGAGGAAAAACTTGGGTTCTTGAACATGTATGTTTATCAATAAAAGTCCTAACTTGAAACATTTTACAATCTTTTATCCTCTTTGCAATCATACGTCACGTACAATTTTTGTCAATCATACACCTTGTTTTGAAACGATCTTTGCTTGATTTGTTAACTTTTAGTTGATAGCCATCTTCCACACATTTAGTATACAAAGTTATCTTCAAGTCTTCCTTTGTATCAAAATAATCATCTTTCTTGATACGAAAAACTTTTGTGTAACAATCAACTGCTATCTTTACCAACTCTTCTTCCGGTATCTAAAGTAATTCTGGCATATTCCAGTTATACTCCCGTGGCATTTTCTTCTTTTTCCTTTCTTCGGGAACTTCTTCTTCTCCTTAAGGGTTATATGAATTACAGAATGGATGTTCAACATGTTCATTCACAGTCGTAACTTCCTCCTCATTATCATCAACAACATCTTCCTCGGCAACGGCTGTTTCATCATCAAAATTTGGGCATTGACCAATATCAAAATCATTACATGCATGGTATGTTTCTTTTTCCATCACATCATCAAAATCCGAGTATTCCCCAAGATCAAAGTCTGGGTATTGACCAAGATCAAAATTCGAATACTGACTAGTACTCACAATTTTTTCTGTTGGCTCATAATCGTCTAACTGGTCAATACGAAAATCGGAATTTGGTGTTGAAAGTTGATTGGGATTTAGATTAGGAAAAGGTTGTGGGTTTTGAGATTGCGTTTGATATTGTGTTTGGTATTGGAAATTTGGTGAAAAAAAAATTTGCTTGGTGATGAAATTGTGGTGGAACCAATAAAATTTGGGTTGAAGAACTTAGTTGATTACTACCCGCTAGTGACCCAACTTCACTACTTCTAGGTTCAACAACATACAATGTAACATCATCTTCTTGCGAAACACTAATGTAAGCAATGAATCGTTCAACATCTTCATTGTCGGTTAACAAATAAACTTTACATTTTCTCTGATAAGATAGCCTAAATCCACTTAGAGGCTCTAAATTCAATTTCTTTGCAATACGTAATATTAGAGTTTCATAAGTTAACTTTTTTAATGACCGTTTTAGTTGAAGATTCATGGGTAAGGAACATTGTAAACACCATGAACATTCTCCCATGACCCTCCAAAACACAAATCTATCCAAACATAATCAACATTAGATGATTTCATTCTACAAATTGTAAATTAATTTACTAAACAAACGAGCTATAAACTAGATATCATCACTAACTTAGAGAAAAACATACCTTTATTAAGTTGATAGTTGATAATTTGGCAGAGAAATCATTGAAAAATTATATAGAAATAAAATTATGTAAAAAAAAATTAGAGATGGGGAAGGATGTCGTTGGATATAGGAATGGATGTCGCCGGAGAG